GAATTTATTTATAATTTACATGGGAGCTAAATCCATTTATTATTAACCAGCCATTGATCCATGGCAACTTAATAGCAGTACACCATTAAAATGAGAATACACTCTTCTGATCTAGACTCGTTTAAGAAGCACAACCATAATAACCATCACGGCCAATCCCATCAGGCTAGCTCCGATCGTCTTCTCGAAATAGTTTGATCCCGCATTTCCTTTCTCCATTCCAGCAGAGGGTAAAGTAAAGAGGTTCTGCAGGAATTCGGTTGCTTTATTAGCCATCTCAACCACACTAGTCTTGAAGTTCTCTACAAAATCCAAAAATGGATTCCCGACTTCTTGGGGTTGATTTGCATTGAAATATTCTTCGATCTTTACTGAAGAAGATTCACAACCCCCAGGGGATCCAAATGCATAACCTGCAACACATTCTTATAAATTCATGGAAAAAGAGTAAGAGAAGCATCAGATATATACGTAAAATTCTCACCGGTCTTATGTGACCGGATGAAGTCCATGTAAGCCGGATTGTGCAGTACAGCATTCCATACATTTGGATCCGCAGCAATCGATGCAACCATAGACTGAACCAAAACCAACAACAAAGTTATACTTCCACAAAATAATCGAAAGATAAAGGTTCCCAACTAAACCTCCCAAGTACTTTTGCAGAACATAACAACATTATGAACATTCTGTAATCTGAGGACTGAGATAGCTCATGTCACAAGAATCCAACATTTTTAGAGGAAATTCCTCTAATGGTTTCGTCATAATAAAGAAAACATGACAAAAAATCGAAAGAGTTAAACGAGAACCTGAACTGCAGGGCTTTCATTGAGTAATTTGAATGCCTGAACAGCAGGCTTTGGTGCTAAAGTGGCTTTAACATCATATGCAGTGCAATCTTTAGTCTCCTCTGAAAGCATTGACGACCGGGACGAATGAGCATCATCGGTCCAATTTGGAGATGATAGATAAGCCCTGGAAAAAGAAAAACACGATACCACAAAACAATATTATCTAACAGATCATGAAACTCAATGATGTAATTGGAACATCAATGATCTTAAAGTAATAAAATCCAGTCCATAACTTAGAAGATTCAAGTTTTCTAGTCTGGGGTTCTTGAAAATGATGTTTCCCACGTTATAATTTCAAATTTTTCATGAAATGTAACGTCTTAATCAAAGAAAAGTAATGATTAATCGTATAAAGAATAATTAATTTCAAATTTCGTAAAGATGGATCTTGTATTGAATAAATGGATCCAATGAAGAAAATTTTCTCAAAATAATGATCTTTACTTATCCAATGCATCTTTCAAATCAGTAGTGGCTTCTTTAGCCTCCTCAAGGGTTGGAACACCGCCAAACAACACCCGAGCAATCGACTTTCCTCCGCCGGAGATGGCGGTGGGCACCTCCTCTTCAATACCGCCCGCAAACTCCCAATCGTCCACCATCTCCCATGATGCCATCTGATTGACCGACGCCGTCAAGTCAGAAGCCGAATAAACCCCCCCGCCAGAAACAGAAATTCCTGAAGAAACCGAGCGAGAAGCAGCGACACGCATGACAGAGTACTCCGCAGACGACGGAGCCACCTGAACACCGCCACGAAGGCCGGTGTTAACAATACCGGCCCCTGCGACCTTCGCTGCCGCCCTCATTACTCCTCCGCCCATTTTGGTAATTCGAAGAAAAAAATTAAAAAATAGGAATAAGATTTCGGAGAAATTAAGAAACTATGGATAACATTTAGTTATTCAAAGACATCGGCTATTTAAATAAATAATTTTAAAAACTTTTTTATTTACTAAAATTTGGCACTTAAATAATAATAGTTTTTAAAAATAATTTTGTGTTTAAAAAATTATTAATTTTTGTAAAACAATTATATATAATATTAAAAATATAAGAAGTATGTTAATAAATCATCTTTCATAACAAAACTTCCATTAATTATATACATTTGCTGCTTGAATAAATATATACTTTTTGGATTTAAATGTATCTATTTTTCAAAAAATTATATAACATTAAAAGTTTACTATATCAACAGTAATATTCTTAAAAAAAAAACAGGGGGTGGAAAAGTTGGGTCGATTGAAGACTGGAATGGAAAGGAGGCATATCAAATCGGGTCAGTTCAGGGTTTTGGAACTGATGGCCATTCCAAGGTTTCCAGGAACCTTAGATAGGGGTATAATCGTCAATTTAAACACAAAATTTATTGCGAATTAATTAAAAATCTTTCAAATAAATATTATTTTATATTCATTTAAATTGAAAGAAATAATAGACATAAATTTTTTAGGAAGGTCCCACGAAAATGCCTTTTTTACAGTTAAGTCCTTATGGTTTTTGACTTCATTATCATAAGTCTATTCACTTTACAGTTCTACCAGGCATGAAGCTGGGGAACGACTTTGTTACGGGCCAATATTAGTATCTATCATCAAGTTATGATGACCCTGCTCCAGGAAACTTCACATTCGGACTAGATTTCCAGACTTGGTTCTGAAAGAAGGCTCCTCGGTGCGATTTCATTCCAATGAAAACGAAGTATGCTATGTATATATAATCTATAATCATGGGCTTATATGTATAATATACAATATTATTATAATGTATGACACAAAAGTTAAATGATTAATTATGTTACACTTACATATGTCATAGCTATTAAAATATCATCAAATTAAAATGTAGATATTATAATTTGTATTTTTTCTTATTCCATCAAAGATTTTATATTTAAGATAAATATATTTTCTTGAAATATCTCAATCTTCTAGCCAATCTATAGATCTCAACTTTCTAGTAAATTTCCAACTTTTAGGTACGATTTTACAAATTTAATATATTGTTCTTGATAATTTAATACGATTAGATATTGGATTTGATTTCATATTTATTATGTTTTGATTCTAACATCATGTTCTTCAGCATAGCTCATTTCTTACAAGATTAGTGATTAGTCAGATTTGAGGCATTTCAAATGGACTAATCAAAACCCGACGGTGGGTGCATAATCATTCAAAACAAGATTTCAAATGGACAGTTTCGGATTGTGTGGCGCAAATGGTGTCTGCAATCCTAATAACTCCCCCATTTGTTCTTGCTTGAGGATTCACTCAGGGTTTTAAATAGCGGTCTGCGATCGCGATAGCGCCCGTGAAATAGCGGTAGCACTGCCTTCCGATATACCCGCTATGGCCACAATCGTGGTAAACATGACATGACCGAAAATACGACTGCGACTTGAATCCCTGGTTTCACTAATGTATGGTGTATATTCACTACAGGGTTTTGTAGGCTCAATGACTGGCCTTTAATTAAGTATTCTTGAGTTGCCATTATTCGATTTGGCAACAACTTCTCGTGCAACAGATAACTTTTCTCCGAACAAAAAACTCGGAGAAGGTGGTGTTTGATCTGTCCACAAGGTAACAACAGATTATAATAGTTTCATTTGGAACGTGTTGGATTGTTTGCTGTAACCAGAACTGCATTTGAGCTCTCTGTGTCTATTAATCTATCTGCTAGAAGTTCATCTTTGCATGCTCCACTTAACCCGAAATGTGTTTCCTGCAGTGGTTACATGTGTCCGGAATATACTTGATCAAATCTAATGTTTTTAGCTTCGATGTTTTACTACTAGAGATCATAATTGCGAAACGAGACGCGGGATTCTTTCATCCTGATCATCATCTTAACCTTGTTGACCATGTAAGTGTCACACTACAAACTTTCTCAAATGCAAATGTTAAATTCTTACATTTGACTTTAGTTGCATAGGCATGGAGGTTATTAATAGAAGGGAAATCGATGGAACTGGTTGCAGAACCGAAAACCCGCATGAAATTGTACTATCGATTCACATAGGTCTATTATGTGTGCAACAAAATGCAGAAGACAGACGAACATGCCGAATATTCTACAATGCTCTTAGCATAGGTCTTTCCATGCTAGAATATAAATATCGAACAAATCCTCTAAATATATGATAATTTTTGTAAAAGAAATAATGTATATTCGTGACTTGTTTGGTATTACAGGAAGGGCTAAGTTTCTTATATTACATGACTTGTTTGATATTGATATGTTCATTTTTCCTCAGCATGAAAAGGTGTTGCCACTAAGAAAAGTCCTACTTCATTGACTTGTATGGTTGGATTACAGATGTTTATTTATTGCTCATCAATGTATTCCGTGCGGTTAGGGGAAAAGTTACATCCCGGGCTCCATAAATTCCGACTTTTCTTTCCATCAGTCCCTTTCAAGTTGAAATTTCAAAAAATATTATACATTTTAAAGATTTTATTTATTTAGACATATTCATTTTTTTAGAAATATTTTAAAATTATCTAAATTTTGCGATTGAATAATTCATAATCAGTACCTTTAAATGTTAAGTAAACCCCAAATATAAACAGAGTCAAATATATTAGGAAGGCATAAATGAGGGTAGTTGAGGTGGTGGTGGTGGCCGTGGTTATTAAAAACCCTAACCATTTGCAAACTTTATTGTGATGTTAGGTTTTAGGTGGTTGTCCTTATATTCAATTTTATTTTTCTTTTCTTTTCCTTGGATATTAATGTAGACCACATTATTTGTTTTAAGGGTTTTTTTCTTCGGTGAAAAATAAGGGAAAAACCAATTGATAAAATGCAGCCAATAGATGAAAATGCAGATGCAAAGAATGAATTACTTGTTGAACAGGTCAAGTGAACCGTAGAAATATTTGTCCACTCATTTTCAATTTTCTTTATAATCTATTTTAATCATAAACCAATATTCAACAATGCCATTGATCAGAATTTCACTATGGAGTTCTGTCTTATATCAGAAAAACTGGACCACTTGCTTGATGCAGGAAAAAAAATTATCTGCAGAATAAATAAAAATCCAAGTATATTTTTTCTTTAATTCAACTCTTGTTTCTTAGTATGGTACTGTCAACAAACATATTTTTCATAGAAAAAAAAAATCAAAGGTGACAACATTTAATTGGTTTAAGGTTGGAATTCTAGTTCCAGAGTGGTTTCATTAGCTATGGAAGTTATTTACTTGAGATGAAAAGGAAACAGCTTTCAAGCGTCTAGTTCTTCATTATATCAATGGAAGTCTTTGCCATTCTTCTTCTTTGCTCCTTTTTATTTGCTAATCTTACTATATCCACAGCAGTGGACACCTTGAATGCAACTGAAATACTTAAAGATGGCGACACTATAGTTTCAGCCGGTGGAAGATTTGAGCTAGGGTTCTTCAGTCCAAGTAATTCAACCAAGAACAAGTACCTGGGAATTTGGTACAAACAAATACCACTCAAAACTGCAGTATGGGTAGCCAACCGAGAATCCCCCCTCAATGATTCATCAGCTGTTTTGAAACTCACCAGTCAAGGGATTTTAATCCTTCAGATTCATAATGGAACCACCATTTGGCGTTCAAACATATCGAGACCGGCTCGGAATCCGTCTGCAAAGCTGTTCGATTCAGGAAACTTGGTCGTGAAAGACGAAAATGAGAGAAATCCGGAGAATTTCTTGTGGCAAAGCTTTGACTATCCATGTGATACATTGCTTCAAGGGATGAAGCTTGGGAGGGACTTAGTCAGAGGCCTGGATCGACCCCTGTCATCCTGGAGAACTCCTGATGATCCTGCTCCAGGTAATTTTACATATCGGTTCGAAGTCGGAGGTTTTCCGGAACTTATACTTCGAGAAGGTTCCGTCATCCGGTTCCGGCCTGGTCCTTGGAACGGTATACGGTTTAGCGGCACACCTGAGCTAAAACCGAACAAGTTCTTCACAGTTTCTGTTGTGATCAATGACAAGGAAGTGTATGACACCTATGTGCTTCATAATAGCTCGGTTCTTTCGAGGATGGTGTTGAGCCATGACGGACTTTGGGAGCGGCTAACATGGACCGATCGAACCCAAAGTTGGCAAGTTTTCGTCACGGTTCAAATGGACCCTTGTGACAGTTATGGACTATGTGGTGCATATGGCAGCTGCAATGCAAGTAACAGTGTAAAATGCAGTTGTCTGAAAGGATTTGTGCCGAAGTTTCAGAAGGATTGGGACACTCAAAACTGGTCTCACGGTTGTGTTAGAAGAACCACATTGAACTGCTCGAGTGATCGGTTTTTGAAGTATTCGAACGTGAAGTTACCGGATTCGAGACAGTCATGGTTTAGTTACAGTATAAATCTTGATGAGTGTAAGAATTTGTGTACTAGAAATTGTTCTTGTACTGCATATTCCAATTTGGATATTAGAGATGGAGGAAGTGGGTGCATGCTTTGGTTTGTTGATCTGGTTGACATTCAACAATTCAGTGAAAATGGACAAGATTTATATTTAAGGATGGCTGCATCAGAACTAGGTATGGAAATTTCTTCTCTCCTTGATGCTTGACACCTCGAGCTATCGAGTAAGTTGAATTCGAGTATCTTTTCTCTTTAATGATTTCTAACTCGAAGATTTCTGGTATGATTTCGATGAAATAGAGAGCACAAAATCCAAGGACAAGGAAAGAATTTGGGTTGCATTCATCTCAATGTTATCTGCAGCAGTGTTGATCTTTGGATTAACCTTGATCTTATATATTTGGAGGAAGAGACGCCATGAAAACCCTGGTATATACTGCACCACAGCTCTCACAAATCCACTGTTTAACACTTCCATTTGTGTTTTTTTCTTCTAATAACTGTTGGCATTTCTACATACCTTGTAGGATAGAAATTTCATTTGTTTAACTACACCAAAAGTTGGAATTTTATGTTGCTCGGTCGGTTTCAGTTTTCTTGAAATACAAGACACTAATGTTCGATGCATAATAAGACATGGATATGGAGATATGAGTATATATCCTTTACATTTTCTCCAACTTCTACTTTACAGGATTGACCACATCCACATTTATTCCTGAAAGTGGCCTCGGTGTTAAAAATCAGAACGAAGAGTTCGAGTTAACATCATTTGATTTAGCCACAATTGTTCTTGCAACTGATAACTTTTCGATCAAGAATAAACTTGGACAAGGCGGTTTTGGATCCGTCTATAAGGTAGCAATCTTGTTCAAACTCCATGTTATCTATGTTACAGGGATGAACATGTTACTTGTATTGTTTTGGGGTCAGTGTTATTTATTATACTTAAGATTCGGTATAAATATCGGATACAAATATCTTAATATCGGATATGATTATTTCAACATGATATCTGGCTTCCAATGATGAATAAGTTATGCAATTTTGCAGGGGTTGTTGAAGGATGGGCGAGAAATTGCAGTAAAGAGGCTATTGAGAAGCTCTGGAGGAGGACTTGAAGAGTTCAAAAATGAAGTCATGCACATTGCAAAACTTCAGCATCGAAACTTAGTGAAGCTTTTAGGATGCTGCATACATGCCGATGAAAAGATCTTGATCTATGAATTTATGCCGAACAAAAGCCTCGACTTCTTTATTTCCGGTACGAGTTTCTGATCCGAACTGCTTCCATCGAGATTGATAACATTCACTGTGCTCGTAATCACGATGAACATGTCTATGGCTGACTTTTGTGTGAAAATAATCTGAACAGATGAAACTCAGAGCAAGCCACTAGATTGGCCTACACGATATAACATTATCAATGGGATTGCTCGTGGTCTGCTGTATCTCCATCAAGATTCAAGACAGAGAATAATACATAGAGATTTGAAAGCTGGTAATGTTTTATTAGACTATGAAATGAACCCCAAAATTTCAGACTTTGGATTGGCTAGAAGTTTTGGAGAAAAGGAAACCGAGGCAAACACAAAGAAAGTTGTGGGAACATAGTAAGTAAAAATCCGAATTCCGAAACGACCCAAGCTTTAATTCAGTCAGTTCATGCTATTGTCTTTGAAATGTTTGTTCAAGGTTTGACATTAATTTTTTAACTATCTGCAGTGGTTACATGGCTCCAGAGTATGCAATTGATGGACTATACTCCATTAAATCTGATGTCTTCAGCTATGGCGTATTGGTGCTCGAAATAGTAACTGGAAAGCGTAACAGAGGTTTCTGCCATCCAGATCATCATCTTAATCTTCTTGGCCATGTAAGTCTTTGTCAAACTCAAAATCAAGGATTTAAACCAGAAATAACGAACGTATCATGTTTGATTAAGTGCTTGTTTGGTGAATATGTAGGCATGGAGACTGTTTGGTGAAGGAAAATCCATGGAGTTGATGGCATCAACAGCGAGGGAAACTTGTAATCCATCTGAAATGTTGAGATCAATCCACGTTGGCCTGTTATGCGTGCAACAAAGCCCGGAGGATAGACCGAACATGGCTAGTGTAGTACTGATGTTGGGAAGTCAAGGGCCATTGCCGAACCCTAAACAACCAGGTTTTTTCACTGAACGCGATGTCATTGAATCCACATCTTCTTCATCGAACACCCAAAAACTCTTATCGTCTAATGATTTCACCATTAGACTGTCGGAATCAAGATAAAAGAAAAGAAATGCTAACTTTTCAATGTTGGTTTTGCTTGACTTGATGAACTCCTTGGAATTGATTGTATTAAGTCATTGAAACAATCTAGTTTCTTTTCATATGTTTTTTAACGTCTTGTATCTCTTGGTAGCGCAACCAGTTAAAATAAAACCCAAAACTTGAATTATTCAATCTATTAACGTCTATCTGTTGTTTGTGCACCGAGTGCAGAAGATAGACCAAACATGTCAATGTTGTGCTGATGCTGAGTTCTGATGATCCATTGCTTTCTTTTTCTCTTAATACTGTCATGTTTGAATGAACAGAATCATTCTCGTACAAGTGAATTATTAAACTAAATGGAATAGTAACTTACTAAGTTGTATTGCTAATTAAATGAGATAATTAACTATGATTTTGGTCCTCTGAATGAACATAATCCTCTTTCAGAATGTAAAGCAAGATGAAATTAAAAGTGCTAACTTTTCAATGTTGGTTTTTGCTTTCCTTTAGTTTCTTTGTGTGCGTGTGTCATGCACAGGTTCTTGTGCATCTATTTCTGGCAATGCATGTCGATCATTTCCTATCACAGATCCAAAAACTTGTTCTGATTTTATATTCAGACACACTCGTCGATGGTATTATTCGGACTTAAAAGTGAGAGTCGTGCATGTGATCTCAATAAGGGTAAAATCAATACACATATTTGGCATATTATTAGACACAAATGTTGGAAACAAACACTCAAAAGGAAACTCATGGTAAATGTTCATATTGCTGCAGTGCAATATGGCATCAAAGCAAACATGAATAGCTCACAAAACTGAAGCCAAATGTTGACACCAAGATCATCTTATAGTATATCATATTGCAGTAAAACGTAATCGCCTCAAGTGCCATTAAAATGGAAATCAAGAACCTCGTCAAACATACAATAACCACGTCAGTGTATAGACTTAAACACAGATGAGAAGAAAGGAGGAGAAAAACATAGGATCAATTTTAACCATGCATTTTGCTTCTATAAAAAAAAACCATGCATTTTGACGACTTCTCTTCGTCTCGCAATGGGAGCCTTCTCTATCCTATTGCAACAACACAAGAAAAGCAAGATAATGCGATTAGATTACAGACTCTATTTTTAAAAGAAAAACAAATATGACATTATTTAAGATATTTTCAACACCAAATACCTTGATAGTATAAAGCCGAATTTCCTGTCAACTTGCTAAGCATCTGCAAGGAAAGAAGCATTTTAAGCAATAGTGTTCAACAATATCGTACAAACTTCATAAATAGACCGAAGTACAGGAAAGAAACTCGGGAAGCTTTCCTACTGGAACATGGTATGAATTTCATGACAGGCAAGATCATGTTTAGTAATTCAAGATGCTTTCACGTGGAAACCACAGAGAGATATTTTTCATTCGAAGTCTTCTTTTTCACAACCAGTGGCCTTAAATAAACAAATAAAGCAAGGAGACAATTGTGTATGATCAATTGATATATAACTTCCCCCAAACTGCAAGTTTCTTTTCCCAATTGAGGCATGCCATTCAGCATCTGGACTTACCTTTTCAGTCCCAATTTACTTCCCGAACTGGAGCCCAATATTTCTATAACTTATCCACTCTAGCAGATCAAACACCCTAATGTTGTTTCGTGAAGTAAAATATATTGAATCAAGAGAGAAAAGCATACTGAAACGTTTTATCTTCCCATATTATCCCAGCTAATGTAACCATGATCTATGAAACTATTGGGGGTCTTCCATACAAAAATCTTTCTGATAGTCCTTTTTAGCTCCAACCAATCATTCCATTTCCAATACTATATATCGTCTTCTTCCATTAAATCATCATTACCAATCACAGCTTCCCATTCCAATTAGCTACGAAAACTTGACAACATAACATCCATCACGAAACTCAAAGAAAGAACTATTTCAATTAAGTATTTAAGCACATTTAGTTACTCGATATAAACACAATAACATTGCTACCATATATCTTCAGAACATTTATGCACGGCTCACTTGTATTATACCGAGTTAGCAATTATAAAAATAGCCACATTCCACATTCTATCCTTATTTCATTAGTTTTTTGTCAACCAGCCATCTCCTTTTCTGCAAATTATCCATATTTTCAGTTAAGTTGCAACCTGCAACAATATTCAAGTTTGCAAAACTAATCTTACCCACGGAAGAAAGATTCCCATCACTAAAGATCTAATAGGAAGAATCAGGCTAAATACTTATAAGCTACAAAAACACGGATGGAACTAAAACTTTCCCACCACGTATACTACCACCATGGCCTAGTTATCAGCTAATGTAACAAAATCTCTGAAACCAATCAAATTAAACAAAAACTTGCCAAACTTTACCAAGAAAAGACCAACCTATGGCCATAACAACAACAAACTAAGACCTTTCTCACTACATGTCATCTGTCATATCCATCATATTATGCTGCTGTGCACCTAATCTTCATCTAAAACAATACCAAACACATTAACCAGGAAAAAACACTAAGATGATCACTGCCAAGAAATCAACAGTATTTGAAAACCAAGAACAAAGTATGCCGGGATTAGTTATCTGGTTCACATGATGCAAGTCATCTTTGCTAAAAGAACTTCTCAATCCATCCAAATTAAGCATTGACAGAAGTGCAAATATCCAAAATTTCCTATCAAACTGAAACAAAATAAAAGACCCCAAAAAAATAATTAACCTTTGTCATCTTTCCCCTCCACCTCAGCCGGCTTAACCGTAACCACAGGCACGCCATTCACAGCATCTTTATCATCAGGATACCTAACAACAATCACAGGACAGACACAATGATGCACACAATAATCGCTAACACTTCCCAATCTCCCATCACTCCCTCTTTTCTCAGCTCCAAACCCTCTACTCCCCATTATAACAGCACTCAACCCCAGCCTCTCCACCTCAAGACACAATCGTTCCCTCATATCGTGATCTTTCACTATATGAATTTTGAAGTGAATCCCGGCTTCTTTCAAGGGTTTGGCCAAATCCGCCGCCTTTGACGCCGTGAAGGCATCGAAATCGTCTTCGAGTTGCTGCTGGGACTGTGGGGTTGCTGGGTTTTGCGGGGTTTGAGGAAGTGGACCCCAGTCAGCTCCGAAGAGTACTGATGTGGGCGAAACGTGGAGGAGGAGGACAGCATCCCCGGGTCTGAGGTAGTTCTGCACGGCCCAACGCACGGCAAAAGCAGACTCATTGGAGAGGTCAACGGCTACCCCGATCTTACGCCGGGTACCGACAGTTGGGGTGGGAATTGCGGCGGAGGTTGGGTGGTGAGGGGAAGAGGGGTGGTGGATCTTGATTGTTGGAAGCTGAGGATGATCACTGTTATCTGTAGGATTCATTTTCTTTGGTCAAAACAACACAAGGAGAGGGCTTTAAGCTGAAAGGAGTGTTTTAGATAGTTTTGGAGACGAAAGTGGAAGAACAAGGGTGAAGAACTTGAGTTTGAAGAATGGGAAGTGGAGACAAGACAAAGTCGACAAAAGCAAAGTGAAACGAGTTCTCACTTGTCATCATCCATGGGAAAGGAATATGGAATTGGAACCATTCCCCCCCCCCCCCCCCCCGGCCCCAAAATACTGGAGCTTTGGGTTTGGGTTTCCGAAGGTGTTTTGTTCTTGAGTAGCCCAAGATCTCTTCAATGAGTTAGATTTGTTTTAAGAATTAAATATTTAAATCTAGTTCGACAGCTTGTGGACGTGCCGGAGTGGTTATCGGGCATGACTAGAAATCATGTGGGCTCTGCCCGCGCAGGTTCGAATCCTGCCGTCCACGTTTTTAACTTTCCTCTTAATTTCCTTCTCTTCTTTTCCTGTCAAAGTTTATAATTTTTACAAAATGATCATTAAAACTCTTAATTTGTTTTATTTTATAATAAAAAAATAGGTCAACATTTTTACTGTTATTTAAAACTATATAATTTTGAAGGTAAAATACACATGATGGAACATGTTGGTATTCCAAAGGCCACAAAAAGATTCCGACCAGTCTTGCTCAAGTGATTGATCAGCTTCTTGAAATAGTTGTGAAATATCCTTCTGCAAAATGCCAGAAGGATAATGCAGTTGGCTTAACTTCAGTGGAGATTGATGAATCTTCAAGCAAGGTGAAGTGTAAGTCAAAGGTTGAAGAAACCAAGAAAATCGAGTCCGAGGGTCTTTTGCCAAATTCGGATTGGATGAAGTAAATAAAGGCAAATCACAACTATTAGCAATTAACACCAACCAACCAATTGTTCAATGATCTTTCATTATTATGTATTAAGTAAATCTAAATTTAGTCACCAAAGCCATTTAAATTAGATCAATCCCTTTTTAATAAAAAAACATAGTTAAACAAAAACATCTCCTCTCTCTTGCTAGCCACAGTCCAATCTCTCCCCGGACAAAACAAGTTATTTTTCTTGCAAGAAAAGCAATGAGTGCACCAAAGAGAACTTGGATTGTGGCAGCATCAATTTATGCAGTTGAGGCACTCAAGGACCAAGGAAATTGCAGATGTAATTACACCCTAAGGCTTGCCAAGAACAACCTTAGTAAACCCTCGCCGTGTTTGAGGTCCGAGGCACGCTCGGAGAAGTCACCGGCAACGGTGAAGGCAATGTCCAGTAAAATGAGAGAAGAGAAGAAGAAGTCCGAGAAGTCTATGAAAAAAGTCATGGAACTAAATTCATGGGGTCCTAACACAATTAAGTTTTAATGTAAGTTTCATGGTTCTTTTTTTAGAAATCAAAGACCATGATTAAATGGCATTGTTTTGATCCTATTATTAATAATAATTAAAGAGTTCAAAGTTTTGGTTAAATTTACTTATATTCGGATCAAGAGTTAATAGATTTGACATATTATCTATAAAAGTAATAAAATATCAAATAATTGATAATTAAATTTAAATAAACATTTATTATTAAACTGTCCTAATCTAAATTTAATATTGTAAACATTATTCTCCCATTTAGCTTATCACATTAATTATTTATTTTAAAAATGATTAATAAATTATATTAGAATTCGAATTTAAATTTAAATTTAAATATTAAAAACAGAAACAGTCGAAACAATTCATATTAGAAAATATCCTTGGACTACTCTTCAACATTTTTTCCACGTTTTATTTTTATGAAATTCAACATGTTTTGTAAGGTTCTACTTAACCACAAGATTCTGAAGTTGAAGATTCTTTGTCCTTCTAATATTCCTTTACCTTGCTTTCTCAAAATTTACTGAGATTTATTGTAATTTTAACTTCCTTCGTAGTTAATATTTACTGTACCTAACATTGAAGAAATGAAAACGATTGTAGTTATAATTCAAAAGGGTTCATTAGGTTTGCTTTTGCAAGTATATATGTTATTTTTTAAAAAGACTTTTTTTGTATATTTAAAAAATATTTGACATCATTATATCTAAATCGGAATATAAATTAAATACAAATATTAGGTACGGATAATTAAACGAAATTCAGCCTTTGGTTATCACAAGCATCGAAATCCCTGACGTGGTTGACACACCGGCATTAGCCAAACCTGAAACACAATATCCACCCACCACTTTATTTCTACTTAATCCACAGTACAAGGCTTCACTGTTATCACCTCAAAACTTCTGTGAATCACTCTGTTGCATATTATATCAGCCATGCTAGAAGGCAAGGCAGTGATCGAAGAGACCGATATGCTTCAAGCCATGCAGCATGATGCTCTTGATTTAGATGCTAAAGCCCTCGATTTCTTAGACGTCACAGAGTCCACCGACATTGCTTGCTTCATCAAGAAGGTAAAATAATAAGAATCAATAGGTTCGATACTCCATAGCAGGCTGAACCTATTCCATTCCATGATCTGATGCAATCTGCAATCTTATTAATGAAGGCATTTGTATTTGTTGCAGGAATTTGACAGAACACACGGACCGGGGTGGCAATGCATTGTCGGAACTGATTTTGGTTCATTTGTGACGCATTGTTCGGGCTGTTTCATTTATTTCTCTGTCGGCAGCCTTGCGGTTTTACTTTTCCGAGGTTCTGCTGCTCCTTAGGCTGATGAGGAAAACCGGTTTGCTGATTTAGATTTCTCCACTTCTTGTAACGTTGTAGTGTTGTACCAACTTTAGTCTTCTACTGTTGTTCCAACTCATTATTTTCCTTAAAGTAATCGTGTTCGATATTTGTGCCCGAAATATATTCAGTCTTAGATATGTTGATATAATTCTTCAAAAACCTCCAAATGTATAGAAAGATAGATATCCAACATACCCATGTCCGACACTATAATTCCAAGGGTAGTGAACTAGAGGTGTATTAGGATACTTCAGGTATACAGATGGAATTAACCTAAAACAATTTATGCTCATACTTCTATATTCAGATTTTCATTTTTTTCTAAAGTATCCGTGTCCGATACTTGCATACGAGAACTGAAAGCTTGTTTCAAAAACTGAGAGAAATTTGGTAAGGAATCTTGTATTCTTTGGAGCTGCATACGAGAGAAAGATATGACCAGTGAAAATGCGCATTCGCATAAGCCATGAGAACCAAGATTTACCACAGAAATGTGGCACAAAAGGGGTGTTCCCATGATTACAAGAAGAGAGTACATTATATTCGGACCTCTTCTCTCATCGAAAATGAACCTTTAGAATCAAATTAGTGGAATTCTTCCCTTCCCTTTGATTACCAATTCTTCCTTGCTGTGGAAAAAAGATCATATACATAAAATAAGATACTGGATCAGATAACAATGGCAAAAATTCCCTTCAAGAAGCAGTTTAGGATTGGGAATCTGTTTATTCCCAGTAATGATCCAACTACTACAATCAAATCTACTGTAAAGTTTAAGATGGTTTCAAAGTATAGATGGGCTATCTAAAAGAGCAGATAAAAATCTAAACATGTAACCATATTATTGACAACCATGATAAGTACCTTTGGAACAATCATTCTGGTTTTGCCACCCTTCATAGATGTACCCTTAGCAGTCCCTTTTCTACCCGCAACCATGCCTTCAGCATCCTTGCCTTTTCTACTGCTTTTATGGCTCGGATGAATTTTACCTCTATTATTTTCTTTGCCAGTACCTATCACTTTGTTGCCAACTCCCACCGTCTCTCTAGCTTTTGTAGCACCAGCAGCAAGTGACTTTTGTTCATCGACTTTGTTTAGCAGTGAAAGTTTGGAACGATGTGTCTGAGAAATAGCCTGAAAAAGGTACACTAATTTTGAGTTCTTCAACATGATACGATGTTATTTTTTGTCTTAAGGTGACTTCTAGACATTTGTAAATCAGTTGAGAAAGATTCTGCATCAGATAAAGGAAATCTATCCCAATAAACCTTAAGTTATGCAAACTCTTATGTTTTTGTCCTGTATTCAGTCTATGTTTAAAACACTATTGTGAACTAAAAGCACAAATGCAGACAAAGGCACACTATTGTTTCTGAAGGTACCAAGTGCATCATACCTTTGTTTTTATGGCTTCCTCCCAAGTTTGCTTTGAAACAGTCACTAACCCGCCTGTCCTAGAATTACAATCTCCTTCTTTACCTATAACATTTGATTTATTGTGCATGCTAGAAAGTTTCACTTTGTTCTTGACAGCTTCAGTCATTCGTGCCACATTTCTGCTATCTGGGGTTTGTTCTTTTCTCTTTATCCATGAAACAGTTGACCTCTTAGCTTCATAACCAGAAAATGAAGATGATCCCACGCTAGACTTGCTGGAGGAAGATTTACGGTCTGTTGATTCCGTCCTATTACTCCTATCATCATTAATCTCAACCCTTGATGCTGGTCTCGTAACAGTTGACCTCTTAGCTTCATAGGCAGAAAATGAAGATGATCCCACTCTAGACTTGCCGGAGGAAGATTTACGGTCTGTTGATTCCGTCCTATTACTCCTATCAGCATTAATCTCAACCCTTGATGCTGGTCTTGTAATAAAACTTTTCCTAAGACTAATCCTCACCGAGGTTAAAAGCTCACTTGTTTGACAGAAACCTCGACTTGATACCTCAAAGAACTGCTGCTGCTGCTGTTGTTGAATGCTCTCCGAGGTAACTATGCTTCTGGTATCGGTTATGAAGCTAACAGGTTTTTCATTTTTTCCTTTGGCGTTCTCAGTTATTTCAGAAACCAAACTTGTTTTCGATCTAGATGCCCCTTTCGAATTTATAAAGCTAAGTTTAGGTTTAATTCCCTCCTCAAACCCTGAAGACTTCCCCTTCCATATCTTGCTCCTGAAGTGCTTGCATCTTGATCTCGAAACCGACTGTGGAAGTGTTGGTGATGATGATGAGCCTTCCAAGTCCGACCCTAAGGTTACCCCTTTCTCACCAGAACATGAAAATGTTGATTTTAACTGGCTAGAAGAGCATTGGTGGAACCTGAAATCTCACATTAACTTAATTTAATCTAAAACCTAATGTCATTAACTCTAATTCCATAGCATTCAAACAGTAATTGAGTAACGAACGGACACTTACAGATGACTTGTTTGAAACCATCCGTCATCACTGCGATGTGAAAAAATATAAATAAATCAGATTTTAATTAAGTTGTTAACATGTATTTATAAATCAAATTTCTTAGAAAACCCATAACAAGGCTGAAACTCACGTCTTGGCTATTGAGCTTTATTTCTGAAGTAAGATCCACCCACAATGGTGCTTCGATTTCTTCCTACATAATTCAATAATAAAAAAAATAATAAGGAAAATAATAATTTTTTGCATATTTTGAGATGGAAAAGTTAAAAAAATCTAACATTTTTTAGATATAAAACCTTCTGTTTTCATGTTCCCTATATTTTCCCAGCAAACAAACATACCCTTTTCCCTTAATCAAAGGTATCTCGTTTCACCAATCCAAAGAAACCCCAAAAACTTTATTCATCAAGATTGTAACCAACTTAAAGTCACTAGAAAAAATCTAGAAATTAAGATTAAAAATATATACATTAAGGAATTGAATAAAAACCAATAAAAGAACAATGAAAAATAGCAACAAGAAAACAAAATTTAAAATATTTCCAATCACAAGGAAAACAAATCCATTAATGGAAACCAAGAAAACGCAACCAGAATAAAACTAAAAGGGTGTTAATTTATTACCAGAAATGCCCAGTGATCTTTTTGATTCTTGAAAGCCATTTTCTTTTTTTCTTTCCCTCTGTACTTGAATCTCCTTAGAGAACAAAATGGGTTTTTCATTTGTAATCAATTATCAAACAAAGGTGAATTAAAGGCTCTAAATTTTCCATTTCTTTTTTAGGGTTTTGGCTCCTTGGCTTCTTCTCTGTATAGCAGAGTAATGGGAAGAGAGACTGAGATGCCGTTTTCTATGAGAATAAAATTCTTAAGGGTTGATTTCTGGCCGTTGGATTGAGATTTGGAAACATTGGATGGTGATGACTTGGGTCTTGAGGAATTAAGGTTAATTTAATGATGGTGTTTTGGCTATGGGACGGCGCGTCAGCCATCTCTAATGATTCGACCGTTGAGAGATTTTAAAAATGTTGGAGCGAAGTTGGCTAATGTTACGGGATGGTTACTTTTTTCATGTGAATGACAAAACCGTGACGATTTAAACTCTATCTGTGATTAAATGCAATACGGTGATGAATTGTTGAGATTTTCACTTTGTCACTTCATAATTATATTTTCTTAAAGAGAAAATAACCTCAGTGATTAAAAATCTCAGATAATATACGATTTTGATCAACTTTTTTTGGATTTGCGAAAATGACCAACAAAATCTCAATGCGATCTCTAATTCGCATTGCGATCTCCACTATCGCAAATTCGCGTTGCGATTTTCCAATTCGCGTTGCGATTTTCCATTTCGCGTTGCGATTTTCCAGTTCGCGTTGCGATAGTTGAAAATCACGTTGCGATTTTCCATTTCGCGTTGCGATAGTTGAAAATCGCGTTGCGATTTTCCATTTCGCGTTGCGATTTTTCATTTCGCGTTGCGATTTTCCAGTTCGCGTTGCGATAGTCTACAGTTGTCGTTGCGATTTTCCAAATTCGTTGCGATAGTCTACAGTTGTCGTTGCGATTTTCCAAATTCGTTGCGATAGTCTACAGTTATCGTTGCGATTTTCCAAATTCGTTGCGAAAATTCGTTGTGATAGTTAAAAAAAAAGATTTTGTTTCTTAAGAATTTTCTCTAAAAAGATAGTATCCGCGGACGTGTCGAAGACACGTATTACCACGACCACGACCACGACCACGACACGACACGACCCGACCCGAGACGAGACGAGACGGCGGCGGCGGCGCTCGAGAGTCCCCCCTGTTCTCTATCACTCAACAAGGAAGTGGGAAAGCCAAGCCTTAAATACCATCCTCAATAGTGTCTCCAATACTATGTGGGATTGAGCATTACCAACACTTGTTTCCAATACAATGTGATTATTCAGGAAACAATTAACAATCATGCACCTTAAAACAGCTGAATCAGTAACCAATTGCATTAGTATTATACGATTAAATATGTCATAATTAAAAGTCAATCTACAATCAATCGCGATTATTGCAATTTTAAGCAAAACATTCAAAAATAATATCACTATTTAAGGCTCAATCCCACATAGTATTGGGAACAAGTGTTGGTAATGCTCAAATCCCACATAGTATTGGAAACACTATTGGGAATGGTATTTAAGGCTTGGCTTTCCCACTTCCTTGTTGAGTGATAGAGAACAAGGGGGACTCTCGCGCGCCGCCGCCGTCGGTCCGTCTCGGGTCGTGGTCGTGGTCGTGGTCGTGGTCGTGGTCGTGGTAATACGTGTCTTCGACACGTCCGCGCGGATACTATCTGTTTAGAGAAAATTCTTAAGAAACAAAATCTTTTTTTTTAACTATCGCAACGAATTTAGAAAATCGCTAGACTTTCGCAACAACAACTATAGACTATCGCAACGAATTTGGAAAATCGCAACGACATTGTACACTATCGCAATGCGAAATGAAAAATCGCAACGCGATTTTCAACTATAGCAACGCGAAATGGAAAATCGCAACGCGAAAAATCGCAACGCGATTTTCAACTATCGCAACGCGAAATGGAACATCGCAACGCGATTTTCAACTATCACAACGCAAAATGGAAAATCGCAACGCGATTTCCAACTATCGCAACGCGAAATGCAACGCGAATTTGCGATAGTGGAGATCGCAATGCGAATTAGAG